ACTAGTGGTCTTGGGTTACGGCCCCTTTCCTACTGGAAATGTATTTTAGCTATAGCAAAAGAGATAACTGGTGGAAACCCTTAGAGTATAAGGATGAGCTCCTAAAGCACAATTTAAAGCCAATACTTCTCTCCCCCAGGACAGAATACTTAGAAGAGGAGTAGAATGAGAAAGAAGCAAAGCAACAAAAATGGAACTTAGAATGTCAACTGCTCTGTAATTTCCTTGGTTTGAGTATTCCTTCCAATTTTGTGCAGAGCAAAATGATTTTTCATTCTGTATAATTGTTCATATCTTTCAGTAAATTCTTTATAGAAAATCTAACATCACGGTTACCCTTCCTCTGGTTCTTTGAATATTTTGTGGCTACTAGTACTGGTGCAGCACGTGGGATGTCCATCAATTAGGCCTAGTTCTTGATACATAATTGACTTATATTGCTACATTTTTATAATTAAAATTTTCCTATGTCTTTTTTAAAAATAAACACATCGCCTGAGTGTATTTTGCTTTTTTTAAAATTAAGTATTTATCTTGAACATTGCCATAACTAATGAACTGTTTATTGTTCTTTTTGGTTGATGCTTTTTTCCCTTTCACAGTCATTTCCTAACTCCTTGTAGACTGAACCCTCCTTTGTGACAAAGAAAAACAAGCAAAAAACCAGATGAGACAGAGATGCTCTCTAAAATGTACAAGACTATGTCCTAGTTGTCCCCACCTCTCTGCTTTAGGTAGGACAGTATGCTGCATTATCTGTTCTCTAGAACCTTCACTAGCTTTTCAGTTATTCAGAGTTCAACATCTTTTTAATGACTTGTTTTCATTTATATTGTTAATATAGTTATTATGCATATTGTTCTTTTGTTTCTGTTTATTTTTACTTTGAATTGTGTTGTACAAATTTGCGCAAGTTTCTACAAATTCCTCATATTCATCATTTTTAAATAATAATAATAATAATAATAATAATCAATAATTAATAATAATAATAATAATAAATATTCCATTTCATACATATACCCCTGCTTTTCCGGCCACTTCCCCCCTCAAAAAAAGAGTGGTCACTTTATTTCCAGGTTTGGTTTATTTTTTTAATCACAAAGAATGCTGCTAGGAATATTTTGGTTTACACTGAACCTTTGTTTTTGTCTTTGACTAACCTGTGAAGGTTATTTAAATTTAAATGATTAAAAAAAAAGCAACAATTACATAGA